TGAGGGTGGCTTGAGCTCAGGACTTGGAGACCAGCCAGGGTATCACAGTGAGGCCCCCGACTCAAAAAAAAAAATTAAAAAAGAAAGAAAAGAAAAACTAAATTACAAGAAAATGAAAGCTTCTAGTTCCTGAGACAAAAACTTTTCTCATAGTTTTCAATATACAATAACCTATTACCATTCCTTAAGAGCTTATGAATCAGGGACCTCATCTGCCTTTCCTGTATTATTCTCACAACCTCAAAGCATACTAAGGTTAAGCAGAGGTATCCCTATTTTAGTAGTAAGATGACAGACTAAAGAAAGTAAATAGCTAGACCAATATAAAAATCAAGTTGAGCTTCACACTTTGGTTTGTCACTTCAAACCCCAAACACTCTGATCAAAAGTCCAACATGAAAGAGAACAGTGGATTAAAAATCTGAAGTGCTGGGTTTTAATTGTTTCTGCTACTTACTGATTTTGTAATTTCAGACAAGTAAATGAACGTCTGAGTTTTCTCATGTGTTAAAATATTAACTCATCCTAGTTTAACTCATAAAATATAAATAGGCACTTATATATGCCCATTAAAGCATTATAGAACTGTGAATGGTATGGACTACAGCAGTGATTTTCAAAACATACTCCTCTCCATGGGTGTGGTGGTATATCCCATCTACTTCGGAGAAGCAGGAGGATCACCAGTTCAAGGCCAGCCTGGGCAACTTATTGAGATTCTCTCAAAATTCAAAATAGGCTAGGGTTATCCTTCTTTTATTCTTTAAAATAAAAAATAAATAAATAAATAAATAAAACAAAATAGGCTAGGGTTATAGTTTAGTGCAAGAGCTCTTGCCTAGCATGTAGGAAATCCTGGGTTCAATCTTCAGTACTGGGGGAAAAAAAACTCTTACCAACCACTTCAATCAGCGTTAACTCCTAAAACTTTAATAAAGAAGTTCAAATCTACCAAGTTTTTGTATCATTTTCTGGTATCTACTGAGAAACAATGATACCACAATTTCAGGTCTTACTCAAAAGAGTGTTGGGTACTGAAAAGGAAATGGATTCTAGAACCTAAACCTAGACTGAATCTTAGTTCTGCCACATGCTGACGTGTAAATTTGTCTCCAAGAATGAATTTCTTTACTTATAAAATAGAGGAAACAGTCAGGCATGGTGCATAATCCCACCACAGGCAAGGGGATGGGAAATCTGAGCCCAGCCTGTGCAACTTGGCAAGACCTTCAAAAAATTAAAAAGGGCTGGGTATAAAGATGAGTGCAGGGCTGGGGATTTAGCTCAGCGGCAAAAAGCGCCTGCCTGGCAAGCGCAAGGTCGTGAGTTCGGTTCCTGGTACCGGAGAAAAACAAAAAAAAAAAAAAAAAAGATGAGTGCAAACATCCTGGGTTCAAATCCTACTATCAAATAAATAAATAGATGAATGTAGGGAAATATCTACCTCACAGAGTTTTGGACAGATTATATAAAGTAACACATAAAGCTACTACAACAATGCCTGGCACACAGTACTTACAAAAAAAAAAAAAGTAACTGCTATTATCACATTACCCAGAAATACTCTGGAATTACTAAGGCCAATTTGAAAAAATTATGGAAACTCAAGAAAAGTATAAATTCTGAACATATACTCTACACTCACAAATGCAGCTATTAAGATTTAGTGAAAATGAGTCAAGGTCATGAAAAATAGTTGAAAGAGTAAGTCACACAAAAAAAAATGTTAAGGGAACAGGCCCAGGTTAAGAGTAAGAAATGGATGGGGATGGTACAAAAGGAAAGATAAGAAAAAAGCAAGTGAATATAGGTGAAATAAAGATGTTTTGTTCTAGCACTTTGGGAGGCTAAAGCAGGAGGATGGCAAGTTTAAGCCCAGCCTGAGCAACTTAGCCACTTAGTGAGACCCCATCTCAAAATGGGGGGAGGGGGGCAGAGAATGCTAGAGATGTAATTCAGTGCAAAGGCCTTGGGTTCAATCCCCATTAAGAGAGGGGAGGAAAAAGATGCTTTGAAATTGGGACTAAGGAAACAGACTGAATCTTAGAATATACAGGAATAACAAACAACTCAAACGAAGTGCTCCAAGTTAACAACTATGATTCCAAAAAACAACAAGAATTAGAGTTAACAAATCCAAGTTTCAGTCCTTAGTGGCCCTACCAGTAAGCTTCTAAGAGAGCTTTAATATCAGAAATATTTGAGCCTCAGTGTCCTCATTTATTAAGATAAACTACTCCCAGCCTCTTCATTTACCTTTCAAAATTCTCTGAATCTCAGGGTTCCTTAACTATATGGTGTAGTGGTAAAATGAAATAATTCCTATGTTCTCTTTTAGCTTTATGACTTGAGGAGAGAAGAGAATCTATATTAACATTAGACTTAGTAAGGCCTACTTATTTACCAAAAGGAAAGTAAAAAAGGAAAATAAGCCACTTGAAGTCTACAGAATATTCACCACCTGCTCTTCCCTTCATAATATGTTAAAGAAGCATTTTTCTAAAGAGCTTTTTTTCCAAAAGAACTTTCTTTTCCAGTATAACCAGTTAGCTTCTACTGAAGAAATCAAATTTGCTTAAACAGAAGTTACTAACAACCACACTCTTGTAATGAGCAGATTTTCCCTTTATCTTGGTATTCCCCCATCCCAACCCAATTCTTCATCTTTAGAGAACTTGTTTTGATGAAGAAGTTGAGCTCTAGTTAAACTTACCTGAAATAAGTGTAGTTATAAAAAGCTAATTATTTCACATACTGTATTTGTATTGAAGAGTACTGTTGCACTAGACCATCAAATTTTAGCTTAAGAAAGACAGCAACTAAGATGCATATCAAAAATAACTATTATATTAATCTTATACTTCAGGCCAACCTTTGTCTTTCAAAGCCAAAGCAATCTTCACTTTACCTTATTTATTTATTTATTTTTTTTTTTGGTATTTTTCCGGTACTGGGAATCGAACTCAAGACGTTGTGCTTGCCAGGCAGGTGCTGTGCCACTGAGCTAAATCCCCAGTCCCCACTTTATCTTATATGTAGCCTTCTACCCTGTTCGTTCTTAACAATCTAACTTCTGTCAAAGTTTTGTCTTTTTTCTGCTTTATCAGTCAGGTCTCTAGTTGGATGCTTGGTTTCCTTCTGTTTTCCTATTTGCTGTCACCCCTCCACCTCACTGATCAAATTTAATTTTTTTTCATTCCTGTGATCAACTTTCACAATACCATATCCATCTTCATCTTCTCTGTGATCATTTTTTAACGTATTACTCTTTTCATAATCTAAGGCTTCTCTTTCTTTCCTTTCCCCAGGAATACTACCAACCCATCTCTAAAAGCCACAAAACAGTACAAACTCTTGACTACCTCATCTGTAAGCATCCTTCCTACCCCTTTTTTCCTACAATCCGTAATCCCCTGGATCCTGACGATACAAATTTCCCTCAAAACCTATTCTATTTTCTCTGTTTGCCAACAACTGTCTCTGCCATGCTCAAGTAATCGTGCTTTCTCCTACACCCAAATATCCCCTGGTCTGAAACATTCAAGCATCTAAAATTAAAATTACATAGCTTGTCTCTTCAATCCAGCTCTCCACCCTTTCCAACAAACTCTTCCCCAAAACACTGAGTGGCTACTCCCAGTGCTTCACTAATTCTCAGTCTTAGACCACTAAATAGCTTTCCTCAGCGTTACCTGCCTAGCCCAAATCTTCCTCTTTACGCTTCCCAGATCTCACCTCTGTAGTGTTTCCATTCACCAAGCCCCTATTCCTAGTCATTTCTGTCTTTGCAGACTATGGTCTCCCTCTAAACTTAGTCCCCTCGCTCATCACATCCCTCCTGATTTTCTGTCACGCCTAAGCCCTGCTTATCTGAACAGTCTTCCTGGATACGTCCTCTACCTTTTCTTAGGCCTGTTATTTCCTTCGCTTTCTCAATTCTCCCGTAAGAGAGTCAATCTCAGTCATACCCTCACTCGCTCGCCCTCTTACACTCCTGGAAACTCTAGAACCTTCAGCTCCCTTGTTCTCTCTTCCTCTCCAGCCCTGCCTCTGGTATTCTCCATTCCCCTCGGCCTTTCTAATAGCCAGTCCTCACGGTCTTCCTACTCTCCTGCTAAACCTTGCCTGCGTTTTTCCCGATTACTCTCAACTTTTCTCTCGGTCATTCCCTCAACCCTCCGTGGCAGACCCTCCCCTACCTCCGTCACAGTCTTTAAGAGTTACTTACCTCATCCCTTAAATTATCCAGTCCCCTTCCCCAATCTTCCCCGCATTCCCTTCTCCCTTCAACAATGTTATCTGCCCTCCAATTTCTATTTACTTGGCGCCTCCCCTAGTCACCAAATTGCCATCTACTCCAAATAAACGCCTCTCCAGGCCGCCAACATTTCCTCCTATCCTTTGCCCCCGCTCCCGTGCCGCTCTAAACGCCCAGACACCATTCTCCAACTGCCAGGGCCGGGCCTCTAGGGAGAAGAGGTACGAGTCACGTACCCCATTCGCATCTTGGCTCCGCTCTGACTGCCCCCGCTGCCGGGGAGAGGAGGGCGAGAAGGCAGGCGGCCGAGGTGCATACTCTTCTCGAGGGCCGACATCAAGGGAAGGCCGTACGTCGTCAAACAGTAGCACAAGATTCGTCCCACGCTAAGTGTGGCCCAATCGATCCCACGAAGCTCCCTTAACGACGCCCCGTCGCCTTTGAACAGCACCCAGAAACCGGCAGCACCGCCTACCGCCCACCGGCTCTGTATGCCCCGCCCCCTCCCCCTGGCGCGGCTGCCGGAAGTGCGCAACAGCCTCCCAGAAAGGAAGCTGGGTAACGGAGTCTGAGGATCGTACAGGCCTTTGGAGAACTCGACCGCCCTTGCCGGAAGGAGGAGAGCTCCTGAAGGCAATGCACGCTGGGCAATGGAGTCCTCGTGGAGTATATCCCTTTGCGCTTGCGCAGCAGGTGGCGGCCCCATCCAATCCCGCGTAGGTAGTGTAGCGAAGCGTTCTGGGTGTTGTAGTCTAGTGGCAGAAAGTAGTCTTGGCGCCTTCCCTTGACACTGCTTTCCGGAGACTGTTGGAGAAAGAGCTGCTTCTTCCTGCCTCCCAGGCTGCGTAGCGGCTCCGGTTGCCGGGGAACGCAGGCGCCGTAGGAAGGGATGGCGGGAGGATACAGCTTAGGTGCTGGCGCCGGAGTTGAGCTGGTAAAGAAGAGCTCCGGCTAGTCATGAAACAGCGGAAAGGCCAGGAACCTGGGGGTGGCCGTGGGCGCAAGAAGAGAGGTAACTCGAGCTGCCAAAAGCTGTGGGATGCCTAAAGAGGCGAGCATAAGAGAAGCGGGGCGTAGAGAACTGTAGGGAGACTATCAGCCTCGCTGGTTGTGGGGGTGGGGGGAATCAATCGACGGGAGAGAGAAAATAAGTAGGGAACCATAACGTCAAGAGAGCGACCTTCACGAATAGAAAGAAAATGGTGCCTGGTGGATAGGTGGCAGGGAAAAAGAGTAAAGAAGAAGGGCGAGGGGTAGAAAAAGTATAGGAGTGTTTTTGATAACAAAGATAAATGTATACGTGTGCACATATGTAGCCTTAAAGATTCACGGGAGGGAACAAATTGAAGAGAGCTGTATGTTAATGGTCCTGTTAGATAATGACCACGTTTTGTTCATTACTAAATCCTGCAAGGACTGTCACAAAGTAGGACTCAGTAAACGTTAGGCTGATTGAATTGAGGCAGGAAGAACTATGAGCTGGAGTTGGGAAAGATAGTTACAGAATGTAGACGGAAAAAGTGTGGGGAATGACAAGATACGATAGTATTTGGAGCAGGGGATAAGGGGATCTTCTGTAGAAGATCCCTTGAAGGACCTTAAGAAGACCTCCTCACGATATTAGTCCAAGGAGAAATGAACTTTCAAAATGAGTAGGTAATGTTAACTGCAGGAAGAGTAGTCATTCTAGGAACTCAGGACAGATAAGAAAACTGGAAATTGAATCTCTGTAAGGCTGTCTTCAAGGGGGAAAAGGCATTTTTACATTATAAAATATAAAATGTTATAATGTGAACCTGACATTTTATGTTAGAGTCATTTTAGTGAAGATAGAGATGCTGAAAATAGACAGCACAGTAGGTTGTTGTGCCGAGGACTGGCCACAGTATGGGAATGAGGCTTGTCTGAGCTATTTAAATACCACTGAAGCAGTTTTGAGACAGTGTCTTATTCTCCAAAATGGAGCATGGAGGTGTCCAATGCTGGTGCTGTCTGTGTCAAACCAGTCAAGCATACTAGATTGATAGGGGGAGTGTCAAAGTAGGAATAATTTTAATAGTAGTATAGAAAAGAATGTTCCATGTGCATTTGTGGGAATACTACTGTACATGCCTGCCTATGAGGTTTTTTCTTTTTAAGGTAAAGTCTTGCTATGTAGTCCAGGCTAGCCTCCCCCTCAGCCTCTGTGTGTTGGAATTACAGGCAGTCCAACCATACTATGCATATAATTTTTATATTTAAGTATATATTAACTATATTAAATTAACTAATTTTTATATTAAAACGTATCCATGAAGGTTATGGTGGGTCTTTTCTCCACTATAGAGAGGAAAGAGAATGTTTGCTTTAGGATTTCAAAGAATTAGATGTATAGATTTCTGATCTGATAGACCTCAGTATATTTTCTTATGAGACATTACCACTCCCCATAGAAATGTGTATATAATATAGGAATAATTTTATAAGTCTTGTAGAAAAGACACTGACTGAAGACAAGTAGAGTCATGCTTAATTGCCCTGTTTACATTTTGACTTCCCATCTTTCTGTAATCCAATTAGTATTTTTTTTTTTTTGTACCGGGAATCGAACTCATGACCTCAGTCTTGTCAGGCAAGTGCTTATGCCGCTGAGCTATATCCCTGGCCCTCCAATTAGTATTAAAGCTAATAAATTTGAATGCATCACTAAAATATAGTTGCAGAATCTAAACATGTTGGTTTTTGTCTTTATTGACTGTATGATCTTGGCAAGAAGGAAAAGACTCAAACAGTTTAAGATGCTCTTTGTTGAAATACTAAATTGTGTGCTATCAACTAGATTGTGTGTCCAATGAAGGAAGATGCTGTTTTATGTTTAATGATAATTTTAAAATAAGCTAGGTTAAAAGATAACATTTTCAATGTGGATGGTGCAATAATTAAAACAACTTACAAAAATTTTAACTATTGCTTAGATCTTGAATACCTATCTACTGGTATCATTATATTGGGAATCGAACTCACGACCTTGCGCTTGCCAGGCAGGCTCTGTGCCATTGAGCTAAGTCCGCAGCCCCTGTATTTTTCAAATAGTATTTTTCAATTAAAGAAAAGTTTTATTAGTATGTCTTAATATGTTCTTTAACCAGAACCAAGCCCTAAATACTGATTAGTTATCACAGTGACAATGATCTGGTAGATATTCTGTAGTCTGAGTTCTTTGTTACTTCTCACTTAGTAGAATAGATAGAATAAGGCTTCTCTCTGTAAAGATGAAAGCATTTTGTTTTACTTCAAAAAGCAGATTTTATGTTATTTATATTTAGTGTAGATTTTTGAGTTAGTGTTCTTGGATTCCTCCATAGGTTTGAGTGACATTTTGCCATCTACAAGCCTACCACCTCTGGTTGAAGGCCAGCTACGCTGCTTTCTAAAACTTACTATTAACAAAATCATATGGAAGATTACAAAGCCTCCCACTTGTGTACTTGTCCGAGTGAGATGGTGGGGAGAAACTTCAAATGGAACCCTCTTTTGTCCCAGGGATGCATTACAGACAGAACCAAAAGCTGTGAGAACAACTACACGTTATGCTATTCGCTGTGGTCCAAAGCAGTTTACTTCTTATCTAACAGGTATGGTTTGGTTTGTATGTTTTTGTTTTACCTGCAGACCTAACATGAAACACGTAGTTATGTTATCAGCAATAGGTGTTTCTATGTACATAGGATCTATGGGGATTAATTATTGAAGTATCAAAAAGGCTTTAAAATAACCACCCTTTGTTGAGTGTAATCTTTGTGCCAGCAGTTAGTATATATTCTGATCCTTACAATAATAAGCCTGTAAGAGGAATTTTCTGTTTTGTAAACAATAAAACTTAGATTGAGAGAGGTGAAATGAATACTCTCTAAGGTCACATAGTTGATAAATGGCAAAACTAGGATTTAAACCCACCTCTGAAAAGATAACTCATGCCTCTTAATCCAACTACAATACTTGAGAGGTTGAGACAGGAGGATTGCTTGAGCCCAGGAGTTTGAGGCCTGCCTGGGCAACATAGGGAGACTCCCCCTTTTAAAAAATTAAACAAAAACAACAATAAAAGCTCCATGGTCATTTATTTCAACTGTACCATATTTTTAGGTAATAACTATAGTTTCTACTCCGAGACCTCATGACTCATTATGTTTGAGGAGAGAGGAGATAGATATAAAACTTACTAATCATACAAAGTAATACATGTTAAATACCAAATTAATATTTTAGTGAATTAGTATTACAGGTTCTCAGAGGAAAGGATTCTTCCATAGGGAACCAGAAGGCAAGATGTCTTAATTTATGTCAAGGAAAACATTCTGAAGATACTGTTATTTCTTTATTCAGATCAAGCTTTCACATAAATACATTTTGGATATTGAGGTTATTTATCATATCAAGTTCAAGTCAACAAAAATTGAACATTTATAATGTAAATGTTGGGCTATGAATATTGGAAAGCAAAAGATGAATTAAAAGAAATTTTGAAACATCAAAATGTAAAGAAAAAATGCTGTAATTCAGTCACTGAAGAAATATATATGGAATACTTAGCATGTGTTAGACATTATGCAAGGCACACTCTGGAGATTACAAAACTGAATCAGTAGAAATCAGAATGGTTTCTTAATTCTAACTACACAAATAAGTTTAGTGATAGAGCTTATTAAAAGATATTCTTGGTACTGTAGACATAAAGCTTAAATACTTAGGTGGGATTTTTATAAAATTTAACATATGAAGAGTGATTATAAATTCAGTAAGAGAAAAGGTATCTTTTAATATGATAATCAATATTATCATAAGTTAAAAGTTCAGACATTTATTTGAGGATCCTGTAGTATAATAATGCATTGAACTTGGCATCTAAGAATGTAGGTTGTTGTTATCAACTACAGAATTTTAGCTATCTTCCTAGATCTGACCCCATCAAATAACTACCTTTTCACCTATGTTCATAAACAATGAGGTTGAATGAGAAGAACACAGACTTTGAAGTCTAGACAATCCAGAGTTGGAACTCTGGCTTCAGAATTGGAGCACTGTGTGATGATGGGAGAGTCCTTAAGATCGTACAGCTTCAGTTAATAGCATGCACCTGTCAAGAATTATTGTAAAGATTAAATGAAAAAAACGTTCATAAAATGATTGGTCCAGTACCTGGTTCCTTATAGTTGCAAGTGTTACACAAATATTATTAAATGCTGGGCACTATGGTAGATATAGAGATTTAAGATACAATCCTTTACCGAAAAGGAACTTGAAGATAAAGTGAAAGGAACAAAACTGATGCAGAGCATGCTGGCTCATTCCTGTAATTCCAGCACTTGGAATACTGAGGCAGGAGAATTGCCTCAAGTTTGAGGCCAGCCTGAGCTACATAGTGAGTTCAAGGCCAGCCAGAACTCAGTGAGACCTTGTCTTAATTAAAGAAAAAAGAAAAAAAAAAAAAAAAAAGAAAGGAACAAAACTGACATACATGAAACAGGAATGAGCAATGGCAGACAGTATATAAGTATCTGATTATTTGGTACATGTGTTATCATGTGTATATTCCAAGATGTTAATAAAGGCTAATCTTGTAAGTTATTAGCAAACCAAAAGCTTACTCTTGCTATGTGACTTTGAACAAGCCATTCATCTTCCTGAATATTTCCATCAGTAGATGGAAAAAGCTTTAGCAAACCAAAAGCTTACTCTTGCTATGTGACTTTGAGCAAGCCATTCATCTTCCTGAATATTTCCATCAGTAGATGGAAAAGAGTTAAACACCAAATGTGCCAGTACCCAAACTTCATGTTTCTAGTTAGGAAAGAAGTCAAGAAGTCATGGAAAAGGTAGGATTTCAATAGGAGGTAAATGAAGTAAACTTTGTAAGTGATGTTCTAGCTGTGGACATCAGCATGGTATGTTTTTTTTAGAAAATGAATAGCCAAGAGACCAAATATTAGTTCACAAGTGTGTGTGCTCTAACTGAATACTTAGGGAAAGTATGACTATTTCTTAACCTGTGTGGAGAGTGTTCATTTTATTTTTATTCTTTTATGTTTTCTTTTGTTTGTTTTTTGTTTGTTTGTTTGCTTTGGGGTTTTTTTTTATGTTTTTGAGACAGGGTCTTGCTATGCAGTTCGGGCTGGCCATGAGCTCACTTTGTAGCCCAGGCTGGCCCGAACTCACAACAATCCTCCTACCTTAGCCTCCTGAGTGCTGGGATTACAGGCGTGTGCCACCATACCCAGTGTACGTACTCTTTTGTATGCACATTTCATTTAAAATGCAAAGGTAAACTAATGAGTATGTTTTTCCATATTAGCATGAAAGGTAAAGAAGTCTAGGTTGGAAGGATATATATGAATTAAGATAAAAATAACATATCAAAAACAATGAGAAGTATAAAATATTTTAAAGTTTATGAAATACTTCCAAGTACCTCTATTGTGGCTTTCACAGAACTAGTGTGTGTGTGTGTGTGTATGTGTGTGTGTGTGTGTGTGTGTGTGTGTGTGTGTGTGTGTGTTTTGTACCGGGAATCAAACTCAGGCCCTTGTACTTGCCAGGCAGGCGCTTGTGCCGCTGAACTATATCCCTGGCCCAGTTTGTGTATATTGGAGCCAAGACACAATCTCAGGTCTTCTCATTATAAGTTCTTCATGTGTTTCACTGCAGTAATTGAATATATGGTGAAAATGAAACATCTTCTCAACTTTGCTAAGAAAATACTCAGAGGTTATATTATCTTAAAATGATGTCAGATTTCATTAGCATATCTTATATTTTTCTTTCAGTGAATTAGGACCTTAAAGGTATTAGGTCTAACTGATTAATTAGAATTAGTTAAGGTATTTATTTCCATTCCTCTTAATTCCAAGTTTTCTTAGTAGCTCAGTGCTACTAAGGAAGGAGTAACCCGTTAGATACTCCTAGGAGTCAGGGACCAACCCTTAGAGCTATGCAAGAGCATAGCCCTTTGTCTAGTACAAAACTAGAATAATGAGAATAAAAAGACCTGAGATTTGTTGCTGCTGTTATTCAAAATCAAAGCCTGAGTTCTTGGCAAATATATTTAACACTACCCTTTTAAAGATACACTATTTTACTACCCTTTAAAAGATACAAATATATTTAACACTACGCTTTCTTTATCAAATACTTGGTATGCTAAATATTTTATGCATTGAAAAGCTTTTTCTTAGAGCAAGGTATTCATTGGTCTCTAAAACTTTACTGTTCTCTTTATCTTGGGCTCACGCTCCCCATTTCCTGTCCCCAGAATGGTATGGCAAGTAAGTGCCTGGTTTGTTTGAAATTAAAATAATTTTTTAAGTAAAAAGTTTTTTTAAAGTATACCTTCCTGCTTGCTTCTGAAAGATAAATGAAGACTATGTGAATATGTTGTAATTGTTTCTGATTAGATATGGCTGTTCTGGTGCTGGAAGTAATCACCAAAGTTGATCATCTTCCGATTGGTAGAGTTCAGATCAATGGAATAGCCCAGCTTTCTCCAACTCATCAGATCAATGGATTTTTTACCATTGTTTCGCTAACATCCAAGAAACTTGGAGAACTTCAGGTAAAAATATTTTCTTTACTGAATAGAATAAAACTTTTGGGGCAGAAATCATTGAATCTTGTGAAATGAGTAGATACATGACTCTGATATATCATACTAATTCCCACTACATACCTTTATTCATGTTTTTTACCCAGAGACAATCTTTGTTTTCCACTCATCCAAATCCACTTAGCACTGTATGGCCCATCTCAAATTCTAAGATTCCTTCATGTTGCCTGCTGTACTCATTCTGTACACACTATTAAATTTAAATCTGTAATGCATTAATTACATAATCATTTTTCTGTTATAGTTTCCCAAATTGTTAGTAGGATCCCTTTAATTATCCTTCACTTAGAATAGAATCCGTAGAAAAAAAAGAATTTTCTTTCCCTGTTCTTTCCTAGCTTCTAGTACAAAGGGAGACTGAAATAAATGTTGAATGTTTAAACTTTTAAAAATTTATTACTGTAAAAGACACATTGCCATTGATTCCCCTCAAAAATAATCCTCCTCACTTTGAACACACTTACCCCATTGTTCTTGCCACTTTCTGAAGCAGTTCTAGAAGTCCTCTTTCACCACTGTCTTTACAGGGTTTAATCAAAAATAGGTGACTGCTGCTGCTAATTGCCATCCAGTGGAAAGGCAGGCTTGTTGAAAACATTGTGGTGTTTTCATCCACTTTATTCACTGCATCTGGCACCGTGAGACTTAAGGCTCTTCACAAAGTCAAAATGACATGAAAGATAAATATTTTGAATTGATTTAGAACATGATGTAGCTATGACAGTACAATTCAAAACTGGACAATGGACTTCCAGAACTGATTGAGAAAGTACAGAGAATGGTGGGATAAGTGCGTCTGAAGCAAGAAAGAGTGTTTTAAGGGGGGTTAACGGCAATGTGCCTTTTACACTATTTTTTTTTTTTTAATTTAAACATTCACTTTTTTTTTGAGACAGGGTCTCACTATGTAGTTCAGGCTGGCCTGGACTCACTATGTAGCCCAGGCTGGCTTCAAATTTGCAGCAATCCTCTTGTCTCAGCCTCCTGAGTGCTGGGATTATAGGCATGCACCTAGCCCTCACTGTATTTTTTGATTATACCACATATAATACTAAAGCAGTAATTTCTTGTTTGATAATGTAAGTAGTGTTTTTGATTCCACTTTTTGAAACAATGTTAGGTGCCACTAACTTAGGATACAGATGTAAGAGGTGATGCTCTCACTTAGTTTTCCAGAATACAGCATGATACACATTATGTGGCAGATAAGCATAGATTGCTGGGAAAGAACATAGTTTTTGTTCTATGTGTTTTGTTTTGTTTTGTTTTGTTTTGTTTTGTTTTGTTTTGTTTTGTTTGCACCATGCTGTGAACAGAGCCCAGGACCTTATGCCTTCTGGGGAAGCAATTATCACTAATCCATATCCCCAGCCTAAGGTGTAAAGAACATAGAAGGGTCTCTTTTCTGAGAGGACTTGGATAGCCTCCTGGAGACCCCTGAATATTCAGATGCTACTAGAATTCAAGAAGGTTTATAACTGGTCAAATATGTTCTGGAATATGTATAGAAAAATAAATAATAAATGAAAAAATGGTCCAAAAAAAGATAAGAAAAGAATATCCAACATTAATAAATATAAAAACATATCACATAGCTACAAGCATATAACTATGTCAGTGGAACAGAATAAAAGCTCAGAAATAGATCCAACTACATGGAAGAACTTACCATTTTTTATTATATTTGTATGTTTATTTACGATATATTCTATTTGAAAATAGTGGCACCTCATGCTGGTAACTTTATGGGAAAATGAATCTGTTTTACTCATACTCTTCTGATGGTACAAATTTGCATCAGGCCCGTCAGACAGTAGTCATAAAAATTACCATATATCCTCAGTGCCTAAATTCCAGCTACTTAGGAGGCTGAGGCAGGAGGATCACAAGTTTAAGGTCAGCCTTGGCAACTGAGTGAAACTTCACCTCAAAATAAAATTTTAAAAAAGGACTGGGAATTTTAAAAAAGGACTAGCTTAGTGGTTGTGTTCCTCCGTAGCATGCATAAAGCTCTAGATTCAATTCCTAGGGTAGTATATTTTATCTCAATAATTTCACCTTTAGAACTAGTTATGAAGTATATTTTTTAATATTAGAAAATGTAAATATTTCATTCAACAATATTAGAATTGTAGTCTATTAAAATATTTTCTAATATTTCATTAGTATCTTTACAGGGTTTAATCAAAAATAGGTGACTGCTGCTGCTAATTGCCATCCAGTGGAAAGGCAGGCTTGTTGAAAACATTGTGGTGTTTTCATCTACTTTTCTTCACTGGATCTAGCTCCATGAGATTTATGGCTCTTCACAAAGTCAAAATGACCATGAAAGGAAAAATTACATAGTTATGATTGTATAGCAGCATGGAAATAATTTTGTGTTCATGACAAAGGAAAATTAAAATGTCATGCACATGTATGCATACAGTTGCCTGGGGGAGAGATGTGGACAGCATAGAAAAAAAGCGGCCATCATGGAATGCCTTCTATTGTGCGTGAATTTGCACAGCAGCCCACGCCACATTCCTGAGATGCAGCTGTACTCTCATTTTTGCTTTTACCCTCTTTTTCTCTTTGTTTGACCTGTAAGCTCTGCAGAGCTGGTTTCTCCCATACCCATTTACCCGACGCTTTTCAAATGAATTTTTGACACCATTAAAAAAAAATTGGGGAAAAAAGAAAAATGAAAAGGAATTTAAGATTCTACTTTTTTTGTTTCTTTTTAAAAACTAAGATACATACCATAAATTGTATTCTTTTAAAGTGTACAATTCAGTGATTTAAAGGATTATCAATGATCATTATTTTCTTAATTACAAATTTCATTCCAAAAGGCACCACCGCACTATTAGCAGCCACTGTCCCAGGTCCCCCCTTCCCCAATTCCTGGCAACCATTAATTTTCTTTCTGTCTATATATATTTGCTGCTTCTGAATATTTCATTTATACAGAATAATATGTAACTTTTTGTGACCGGCTTCTTTCACTTAATATAATGTTTTTAAGATTCATCTGTGTAACACTATATTCCTTTTTATGAGTAAACAATATCCAATTGTAATTACATACCTCATTTTATTAATTCTTCAGTTGATAGACATTTGGATTTTTTGGCTTTTTGACTGTTATGAATAATGCCACTATGAACACTCATGTATGAGTTCTTTTGTGAACATGTTTTTAGTTCTCTTTGGTATATACCTAGAAGCAGAATTGCTAGGTGGTATGATAATTATGTGTAACTTTTTGAGGAACTTCCAGACTTTTCCAAAGTGACTGTAGTATGTTTTGTTTTGTTTTTTAAAAAGAAAAGAACAAAAACAAGTAAAACAACATAAAAACAATACAGAATTTCAAAACAAGGTGATAGGAAATTAACAGTGGTTATTGTATTACATATTGTTATCTTCAAAGTGGTTACTCAGATAACCAAATCTAGGCATGTAAGATTGATCAGTTAAACATTAACTATTCTTTTCAATGAGCCAATAGAACTTAGTAGTATAATTACCCTAGCTAACTTGTGTATATATAATACATATTTTTTCCTTCTTTCTTTTCACTTTTCCTTCATCCCAGTTGTTCTTTCCTTTTGAGCAGTTTCTTTCTCTTTCACAATATCTACTGCACCTTTCAGATTTTCAGATTTACCCTTTCAGGTTCTTACATGCAGTATGTTTTGAACATATTTAATTGTCAATTGATACAATAACATTTGTATTTTTTAATTTAAAGGTCATTGGATTTGTTCAGTTGTTCTTAAATAGAGCAGTGGAGACAAAAGTCAGATTCAGAAAAGATTAAAGAATACAGAAATAAATAGGAATTATAGTAAAGAAGTAGAAGGAGCAAAGAAATTGTTTTTTTCCAGAGAAGTGACAGTGAAGAAAGGCAGAAATACAGTGGTGTGATATGATGGGAAGTACACTACATGTGGACATAGAGAAATTGGTTACAAAAACAGTTCTAGTATTTACTAGGTAATCATTTATACTTGCAGAGTTTCAATGTCATATTGTTTTTCTTGTTTTTGTTTTTGTTTTTTAGCTTTTTAATTTTTTGGTGCTGAGGACTGAACCCAGGGCTTCCAGCTTGCTAGACAAGCATTCTACCACTGAGCTAAATACCCAGCCCCTCAATGTCCTATTGTTGCAAGGATTATATCAGATAAAGCTATGTAGAAACACTTAACATCGTGCTAGGTATGTGATAACACAGCAGATTCACTTGAATTTGAGAGGAGATAATATTGATAAAAGTATTGTTTTAAAAAGAAAGACAAATATGCAATAAAACCTAAAATATTTACTACCTGGACCTCTACAGAATGTTTACCAAGCCCTTTGTTAGAATAAAAAAAAACAAAACAAAACAAAAAAAAAAACATGAATTTGTTCAGTAGACTAAAGGGGAGACCAAAAAAAAAAAATAAAATAAAGGGGAGACCAACTGAATATAAAGTAGGATAATTGAAGCCAGGGATGTAGCTCAGTGGCACAGCCCCTGCCTGGCAAGCATGAGGTCCTAAGTTCGATTTCTAGTACAAACAAAACAAAATGACCAAAAAAAGATAAAATAGGATAATTGAACAAGTAAGATTTAAAGAGAATTTGATGGGAAAAAAAGGTTCTTACTATGGGCACAACTGGAGAGTTACATTTGGAAAGGAGGAATTATAATTAGGAAGGAAAAAGGAGAAACATTTTGAGGTGAAACAGGGCTTATCAACTTCTTGTATGGACATTTGCTTTCATTTCTCTTGGAAAGGACCCAAACGTGCAATTGCTGATCCATATAGTAAGAAGTACTTAAAAACTGTTTTTAAGTGCTTGTATAATTTTACATGGCCATCTGCAGAATATAAACATTCTGGTGTTTCCACATCCCTACCAGCACCTGACATGGTCAGTCTTTTTAATTTTGTCTTCCTAGTATATATATTGATGTA